ACGAAGCGAAAGGAAGATCTACTAGATATTAATTAAATTATAAATATATCAATTCATGTGAATATGACTGAAAAATTTACATTTTTTCTGAAAAGGTGGTGTCTATTTACTTGTGACCACGCTGTGTATACTTGTATTTAACAAGAGTTTATTGTTCGTGTATTCCATTTTAAATTTATTAGAGAAAAAGACTTTAACGCGATTCTAGTTGTTAAGATAGCACTATTGTTTGCATTATTTATAGATTAAAATCATATTCAATATCGTCATCTAAATTATCTTCAGTGTGATAAAGGCAAGATCATCTTGGTCTGAAATTATTATCCCCATAGATTTAATTAATTTTGTTAGCTCCGTCGTCGTGTGCTTTGAAACTGCAAGAAGCAGTTCTTCATACACCAAAGACATTAATTTAGGATGCACAAAAGGTAACTATATGCCTTATCTATCCAATCTTATTTACATGACTATAAAGTTTCTGGAGAATGTGTTTCAGCGTAATGTAAAACATGAAATTTTGTTCTAATTTTTATTCGAAGAAAGGTGAGAACTAATGATAAAAACGTTGTACATTTGCCATTATGTTAAACTTATATTAAAGTTTTTCTTCATTACCCATTCAAGCTGTCTCCAACCATTATTAATGATAGAAGCTGTTCTAACGATCTCAAAATTAAAATTACTTCAGATTGTCATTAATTTACAAATCCTTAAAATATGGTTCGTGTTTTACGAATCCTTTCAAACAATGTTTTATTTAAGTCTATAAGTAATAACGCTCATGTATCAGGACATTTTAGTTAAATATCCTTTAGTTGAAGATCCACACCATTGTTCATTGGAGCGTTAATCATTTCTCTCCTGTGCCTAATATTTAATGAAGTTGTTATATGCGTATTATAAACATATCCCATGAAGTGATATTGTCTAACAAATAATGAAAGAGATATAAAAGATAGTTATTACAGCTTAATATCAATGGAGTAGAAGAAGGTTTGTTTATGTCTTTGTAAAATCATATTTTCTGTTCTTTAAATACTGATCACGTTCAAAAATTTCTCTAATAAAATTGTCATTATATTTCCTCTTGAAATAACATCTTAAATATAACTAATAAATTACAACGACGACTATTATAACTCATTAATATGTTAAATTTATTTCACGTATTCAGTATTAGGTGAACTGTCATCATATAAAATTTTAAGATGAGCACAACTGTGAGACTATTGCAAACTGTGTCACTTCATGGGCACTAAATATGGCCTTTAATAAGCCTGAAAGCTCAGGTGCAGTATTTTGTGATTTTTGAATATTAAAATATAACTAGTTATCTTGAACGTATTTATACGAATCTGGACACTGAAAGCCGTCTCTAATTTTGTTTTTAAAACTACTTTAAAATAATATTATTTTTACAAATAGTTAAATAACATTGATATTTGTTAATACTTGGATTACTATGATCGAATTAATGTTCATCGTGAGACTATTTTTGCGTCTTTCTTGGTAAAACTATGCTTTCGTCTTTTTAGATAAACCTGTACTTTTAGTATTATTATAAATTTTTTATGTTATTTTATTTGTTTCTGAGTTTATCAATTGAAATATTTCGTGCCCACATTTTCATTAATACAAAATAATCGCAACAGTTTGGCGGTGGGTGCTTCTGGCCGTTTACCTTACCTTTGGTTGGCCATTCAAAAGTAAAGATGGCAGTAAATTACATTAGTAGCTTTGCCATCAACAAAACGAAACAACAGTCTTCTAGGAGAACGTGAGGTAAAACAGTTCCCTGCGTTAAAACGGCCCCCTTGATATCATCAGTCATGACTTGCTCCTATTTACAGTGAATGTGAAATACGACTTCAATTGTTGTCTTTTGGCAGCTATTGATCTAAGATCAGCATATTGAATTTTTATGGTAAATAAGGTATATATTTCGGGGAATTTCGCTTTGTTGATTTCAAGCGATGAGGAACTACAGACCGCCGAATAAGCTATAAAGAAATAGATTTCACTGATTTTTGTATAACGTACGATTGCTTTAAAATGAATGATTTTGGGACCGACTTACACCATGTTCGTTTGCGCCATTTAATTAACTAAATAATGCATAAGTTACCCATTGCGCACGTTCTTCCCAATTCCTATTGTTACGGGTTAGATGTGGTCATTTTACCCCATATAGAGATCCGTTTTATCAAACATTGCAGGTAAAAGGTCCTCTAACCACAAGAAGTGCATTTTTTTAAATATCTAAACAAGATTTATGTCCAATCTTTGTTTTAACAATAAATGGCATTTATGATAATAAAGTGTTAATTTTAAAACAATTTGCGCACATGAAACTACATTCAAAATTAAGATGGCCGTCTTATCCCACCTTCTTTCAACTGACTTTATTGTAGTGATAAGATTACATTACTTGTCATTTTAAAGTCAATGATAAAGGCAGAACTAGATAATGCCGTTATTAATAGCCCTGAGTTGACTTCAAGTATTTTACTAATGTCTTCTTTAAAATATTCATACTTTAATAAACCATACAGCATGTACTCTTAGTCTCACTGTCTTCCCTGGTGGAAAACCAATGCAAATTGTTTTAAGGATTTAAATTATTTACTTGTATATAAATTGAAATATAAAACAAGACTTCAGTAGGAAAATACTTTATATATAGTGGCCTTGTCCAACAGATTTTACTGCAAACAGGAGTTATGTAAGCAATGAGGAAACTTAATCAATTACAGTGCATCAATAATTACTTAATGCGACTGTTTTTATGCCACCTCTTGTTTTAATTATACTGATTAAAGTGCCGATTATGTCTAGACGATTACTATTTTACAAAACAGCTGCAGAGTAAAAGGTAACTCTTATAATATCCTTTGGCTGATAACTTTTAAACTTTGTTACCGATAATAGGAATGATGATAAAACAATATGGGTTTTCATTTAATTGCTATTTACTTACCATCTGAATGTTTCCGAGATGCCTTGCTAATCATTTCAACCCAATCTCTTTTTTCAAGCTATGTTTCTGAAAATATCCGAACTTTTAAGGAGAACCCGATCTATATTTCGTTGCTCGACTTTCGAAGCTGAATAAAAGAAAATGTATAAAAATATTTAAAGAACTTCAATTTCTGATATAATTTCTGGTGAAAACAAAGTCTTGTTTTATGATTTCTTTAAAGTAAGCATCATCTGCTTAAATCGGTGGGTCAAAACACTAAGCCATGATCAGTTAACCTTTAACTGAGACACGAAAAAGTAATTAAAGTTTTAATGTAAATAACGTAAACCAAGGTTTCTTCTCAGCCAGTAACTTACTCTTATAATACTCGGCCCTGTGGTAACAGCAATGAATATAAATGACTACATGCTACACAGAGTGAAAGGTAGTGTCAAGTGTGGTTCTTTATGAATAATGAATGTCTGGATTTCGAAAGAATCCCTGGCGCTTGATCTCGAAAATCGAACACATGAGTAGCGTACGCAAGGAGAGAAAATCGGAATTTCATACATATGACTTTTGCTCCAACATTATGACACTTAAAATCTTTACAAAAAAATGCAAAATTTATTGATTACTTTATTCTCTTTTAAACAAAACTTCCTGTGAATTCAAAGACTGAACAAAAGATTTTACTAGCGAAAGCGAACTTCTTTGTGAACCTATTTTCATGAAAGAGGTGTAAAAAACACAGACAATTTACAAATTAGAGATTTCTAACTAAAGTACATTTTGATCTAACCTTTGATTAATCGTATAAAATGCATCAATACTTTATCTTTTATGACATTTTATCATGTCCTCACACGTCCTAATTCTAATCTTAACAGCTAAAAAAAAACAATTCTGTAGACGGTTTGTATGTTGATAAGCACAAAGTTACACAATGAGCTATCTGTGCTATGACCACCACAAATATCGAAACCTAAGCCACCGGAGGGCACAATTGACTGTCTGTGTTCTTTCTACCACGGGGTATCGAACCCCGACATTAACGTAGTAAGTGCGAGAGATTACCCCTGATTCACTGGAATACTTCTGAAGAAAACAGGCCCTAAATCGTATTAATTGATAATTATCGGTGCCTTTAGTTTATTATACTTACAAATTACCACACAAGATGATCAACCAGAATTTCTTATTTTTATGGATGGGAAATCTTTGACCATCATCTTATCTTGCTTGAGTTGTTTTCTACAGATTGTTTGTTTTGAATTTCGCGCAAAGCTACACGAGGGCTATCTGCGCTAGCCGTCCCTAATTTAGCAGTGCTTACACTAGAAGGAAGGAAGGCAGCTAGTCATCACCACCCACCGCCATCTCTTGGGCTACTCTTTTACCAACGAACAGTGGGATTGACCGTCACATTATAACGCCCCTACGGCTGAAAGGGCGAGCATGTTTGGTGGGACGGGGATTCGAACCCGCGACCCTCAGATTGCGAGTCGAGCGCCCTAACCAACTGGCCATGCCTAAAAGTAAACTGATTCCGACTATATGGGTAACATCTGTGACAACGCTAATTAAACTTACAAATTAGTTTACAAAATCGTGTACTTATATAAATATTGCTATATTATTGGGTATTATTATAATAATTCTTTAAATTATTTTTCACCCTCCTTTTTCAAATAATCAAATATAGACTAAATTTCGCAAAGAACAATTTATAGGTGTTACAATTTTTTTAACTGTAATTTGTATTTATAAATGACAGTAATACTTGATAGTAACGATTCCTTGAACATTAAATGTCTTCTTTTTGAAACTCCGTGAAGACTACATGATTACACATTAAAGAAATTATTAGTACAAAGAAGGTTGAGTACCTTCGCGTTAAAACAGTTTTAAATAAATAAATCAGCAAGCCACATGACAATCAAAGCCGTTATAAAGTTACTGTGGAACGGAATGTATCAGAACGACATTTTGATATTGTTGTTTTTTGTAGGCAGTGTGATGCCATCGAAAATTGATCACTTTTGGTAAGGGTATGTAACAGCACTTTCCGATGTAAGATATTCATACACACAGATCATAAAAATGTGTTCATATCGTATATTTTGAACTTATAAATTGAAATATTCCTTGTGCTTGATGGTATTCATCAAAGATAGAATAATATGGATCAGTTTGCGAAATCAGGACCAACCAGAAAGAAACCTGTAACGAGTCGTACACCAACCGTGGTAAGCAAAGTGTGATGTTTTGTAAATGGGGAGAACATACGAACACAAAAGTCAGAGGCAAAGGCTTTCCATGTGCCCCAGGCAACAATATGCAACATAATCAAGAAGAATATTTGAATGAAAAAAAAAAAAAGAATAGAGAGAAACAGAAGTCACGTGAACACAAGTTGTTTCCACAACATATCTGTTGTACCGTCACATACTGGTCAAGTCGCCTGTGGATTTCTGCACAATTGGATTGTTGAAACAATCCCTGGGAACCGTCGTCACACTAAATTTATTATGCAAAGCCATTATGGACTATTGGTGTGCGTTGGACAAGAAGACAGCTTTACTACGGAGTGTTTTGCAATGGAAGCTCCGCTGCTGGATTATTGTCACGATGTATAACCAGACGTGGCGACATGAACTGTAACAACTTGGTGAGGCTCCAAGGTATTCTTTTTTTAATATATATAACGTACTCAACCTCTGTACTTATATATGACCACATACATAAATTATCTCCGTTAATCGTTACTGTTTTCCCCCCGGTGGGACAGCGGTAAATTTACGGACTTACAACGCTAAAATCTGGAGATCAATTCCCCGCGGTGGACAAAGCAGATAGCCCAATGTGAGTTTGCTCTAAAATAACCAACCCATCAGTACAGTCCGATAGTTTGCCTAAATTCACTTTTTACAAATGAAATATTTCTCTCCTTTACATAATCACATTTTTTAAAATTAAAATTAAGAGGCTTCATTAATTTTACATAAATCAGTGTAAAATTGAGTACATTTAACTATTTAAATACACTTATTCTGGAAAGTTGAGATTATCCACTTCTTTATATTAATGTTTTCTATAAATTTGAGACTTTTTATTAGGCGGGACAGCGGTATGTCTGCGGGTTTCGATACCCATGGTGGGCAGAGCACAGATAGCCCTTTGTGTAACATTGTACTTAGCTACAAACAATCAAAATGTAATGAACCAAATAAAAGCCTTTATTAGTTTACATAAACTCGTGTAAATTACGTTTCATATAATATTAAATTCCTACATCTATTCACATTTTCTTGGTTAAATTTTACTGTTGATATATTAAAATATTTGTGTCTTCTGTGTCAGCTTGTATTATTTATTTAACTTATCTGTTTGTACACAAAGCATTATTTCACCATACTCTCAGATTAAATCGTTTTCACTAAAGAGATAGCTTTACGCGAAATTAAAATAACAAACGAACAATCTTCCCTCTAGTCTTTCACGACTAAATAGACCTCAAAGATTGTTCGTTTGTGTTTTTTTAATTTCGCGTAAAGCTATTTGAGGTCTATTTAGTCGTGAAAGACTAGAGGGAAGATTGTTCGTTTGTTATTTTAATTTCGCGTAAAGCTATTTGAGGTCTATTTAGTCGTGAAAGACTAGAGGGAAGACTGTTCGTTTATTTTTTTTAATTTCGCGTAAAGCTACTCGAAGTCTATTTAGCAGTGAAAGACTAGAGGGAAGATTGTTCGTTTCTTTTTTGAATTTTCGCATAAAGCTACTCGAAGTCTATTTAGCAGTGAAAGACTAGAGGGAAGATTGTTCGTTTGTTTTTGAATTTTTCTTAAAGCTACGCGAAGTCTATTTAGCAGTGAAAGATTAGAGGGAAGGCAGCTAGTCATCACCACCCACCGCCAACCCTTGAGTTACTCTTTACCAATAAATAGTAGGCTTGACATTCATATTCTAATCACCCACGGCTGAATGGGTGAACACATTCAGGGATAGGTTTCGGTCCCCTGCCTCGCAGATTGCGATTTGAGCACCCTAACCACCACAGCCATATCAGGCCCTAGAGAAGAAGCTTCTGATTCTTAAGTTGTTTTAAATATTTCGTCTTTTATTTTATTTTTATTGCTGAAACTATGTCTTTCTCTATAGATTCTTGTTAATTAAAGCTACACTATCGAACGAACTATCGGTTCATCGTTCTTAGTGTTTACTGAAAGACTTAGCTCACAGCCATTCCACACAGTATACATTCGAACACTTTTTTACACGCGTTTAGTGGTTTCAAAATGGATACAAGCTTATCCAAGCGCATTAATTTAATTGCATTCTGTGTTTCTTCTTTTTTTCCACTGTGTTTCTAATCAAAATCGGCGAGCCACAATTTTTATCTATTGGCGCCAGTTGTCCATTTTTTATTTATGTATGCGTTTGAGTTGTCCAAAAACATCCGTACGGCGTTAGATGTTTTTAGGGACGTGTGCAAAGCAAAACGCAACAAAAAAAAAAAAAGAAGAGAAAAGAAAACACCAAAGAACGAAAAACGAATAGGAATATATCTAAAAAAACCGCATAAGTAAATATTTTAGGGAACTTTGGAAGGTACGTTTGGGGTCTTTATGATTTTATTCTAAAATATAAAAACTCTAAAAAATATATAGATAATGATGAAATTTAGTGGAATTATATATATTATACCATTTGTTTGGCGATATCAACGCTAATAATCTTACTATTCCTTTTCAGTTGTGGAGTCATGTTCGTTACACTATTCCTTGAATTACAGGAGGAAATACACCATAACTTTAAAATTATGGTATAAAACGCATTGTGATATTGCAGTTTGAAGTGCGCAACAAAACATGCAATAGTATTAACCATAAAATCACAGTACAGAATTTATCATCAAAGAACCCTATATTCAATACGTAAAAACTTAGGGCATAATGAATTTAATGACCCTTAATATGAATGTGGTTAACATAGAAGAACGACGTTTGCCTGAACTATTATCGCTCTAAGCTGTGAACAAGGTAGGGTAACAAATGTAAAATGTAAGTTTGTATTATCAAATGAAACTCTTAAATATTCAAGCTCGTACACAATTTAACATGTTAGGTCAAATTCGTTCAGTTGTTTTAAAAATATCCCTTTTCTTAAGAGTTGTTGGCTAATTCAACGCTGTTAAAAAACAGTTTGTTAGCAAACGTGGTTCATTACATTTTGAGTGTTTGTAGTTAAGCACAAGGCTAAATAAAGGGTTATTTGTGCTCTGCCCACCACGGGTATCGAAACCCGGTTTCTAGAGTTAAAAGTCAGCAGTCATACCGCTGTGCCACTGAAGTTTGGAAATTTGTTAATTTCTAGATAATGGTAATTGAAAAATCCCTAAATTAACTATAACGTTAATTTATAATAACGGGAGTGGTTTCAAATGAATAAAGTGAATTTTCTGGGGTGGCCCATTCAATGTCCTGACTTGAATTCAATGGAAAATTTATGGCGAGACTTGAAGAATTCAGTCTATCAACGATCCCCAACGAATTTGTCAAAACTGGAGCAATTTGGCCAGGAAGAATGGGCGAAATTTGCACCCTCACATTGTGCAAAGCTGGTAGAGACCTATCCAAAAAGACTCATAGTAGTAATTGCTGCCAAAGATGCTTCCACCAAATACTGACTTAGGGGGTTGAATACTTATGCAATCAGCAAATTTCAATTTAAATATTTTCTTTGCAGGTTTTCCTGACATTGAAACTCCTACACACAAAGTACAGTGTTAAGTTTGATCAATAGAGATTTGAATAAAAACAAGTTCATTAAAAGCATTGTTTGCATTATTTGTATTTCATCAAAATGTGACATTATTGATCGGGGTGAATACTTAACTGTTACTCTTATAGCGTACCCACGATCCCAGTGTGCGGATCGCATTTTTATGGTAACAAGCCGCAAGCCATGAACAGTCAGAGTTACAGTCTGAGGAAACTAACCACTAGGCCATGCCTGGCCCCAAAGATATATTGCTTTAAAATTGTTCGAAGCCTATATAATACATTATGATAATGTGAATTGTGGCTTTGATCTTGTTCTTCGGGTCATTTGTCCTGCTGAAATGTAAATTTTCGACCCAGGTTTAGATTCTTGGCTAACTCAAGCAGGTTTTCCTCTAGGATTTACCTGTACTTTGAACAATCCATCTTCCTCTTAACCATGACAAGCGTCCCAGTCCCTGCTGATGAGAAACACCCCATAACATGATGCTGCCACCACCATGCTTGAGAGTTGGGATGGTGTTGACTGGGTGATGTGCTAGACGTAACGCTTTGAATTTAGACCAAGAGGCCCAATTTTTGTCTCGTCTAACCACAAAAACCTTCTGCCACGTGTCTCCATTATAATTTGCATGCTTTGTCGTAAACTCCATACGAGATTTGAGATGATTCTTTTTTCAGTAGTAGATTCTTTCTTGTATAAACACTGACTCCTATCTCAGACATGAAACTTTTCAAATCTTTCAAAGTCACTGTTGGCTTCACAGTGGCATCTCTAACCAGTTTCCTGCTTGCCCGGCTGCTTAGTTTCAAGGGGCTTCTTGATCTGGGTAGTGACTGGGTGATGTGAACATTCCACTTCTCAAAGAGATTATAAGCAGCTTTGAAATTTTCTTGTAACCTTCAGCTGATCTGTGTTTCTCTACCACTTTAACCCTAACTTGGTTGGAAAGCTCCTGGGTATTCGTGGTTGGTTTGTCGTATCAATATGCGAGTTGTGACTTGAAGAGATGTATTTACTCTGAAGTCAAGTTAAACCACTTTGATTACACACAGACAGAGACCATTACACTAATTTTTTGACCTTTCAAACAAGTATTTTACACCTGAACTGATTTAGGGTTGCTGTAACAAAGGGGTTGAATACTCATGCAATTGAGAATACTCTAATTTTCTTTGAAAAATCTAACTTACTTACATAATATCAGCGTTTTATTTTAGCTTTCTTAGTTTGGATTATATTGTGTAAACCCTACATATAAAGTCCAATTTGAAAGTTCCATCATGGCAAGCTCAGACGGAAACAATTTGTGAAAACTTTGCAGGGGAGGGGTGGAATACTTTGCTAGACACTGTACATATTTTAAAATTATATGGTACTATACTACAAAATTTCATAATCTATTCAAGCATTAAAACTAACTGAGTTCCTTCAGTATTTACATGACTCCTGTTTGTAATAAAATTTGTTGAACGAGGCCAATATAAGTTGAAGACCTAAGGCCCTCTGTCGGTGAATCCTACTCCTTTTCCTAAAGTATTTTTCTATAATTCATAGTTATGGAGCAGACATGGGTTTTCATAAACCTGTTTTAACCCTAAACACTGGAAGAGAACAAAGTTTATATTAAGCCTCTTAGCGTTTTTCGCCCTTTATTGAAAGCTTATAAAATAAATATCAGGTTAACTCAAGCTGGAGGCTACGAACAGGGTGAATTGTAATTATGTACGTAAGCATGGTTTTCATTCTATTTCGATTCAATATCTAACAGCAATGGCAAAGATGTATAATTACAGTCATTTTGAGCCTGGCGTAGCTCAGTGGTCAGAGTGCCCAGACTGTGAATTCATGGTTTACGGCACTGTCGCACTTTTGAGACGTGAGAAAATGATAGTCAAATCTCACTATTTGGTCAGACAACGTAACCCAACAGCGGGCTGTGAGTGCTAATGACTAGCTAGCTACCTTCTCTCTGGTCTCTCAGTCAAAATTAGGAACGTCCATACGCAGTTATGTGTTTCTGTAGCTTTGCGTGAAAATTCTGAAACTGACAAAAAAATATTTTCATTAAATAAAAACTATTTTTCAGATTTACGGAAACTTAATATGTATATTTCTATGTAAAATAATTCCCTCAATTGCAACATTTCAAGGCAAATTTTATAATTTACGTTAATTATTGTTAGTTTCTCACTAAAGAGACATTTTTCATTAGATGGTTATCTATACTCAAAGTCGTGCAGTGTCATGTTTCCCGCACGCCCAAATTCAGCTTGTACCATAAATTGATGATTAATCCAGCCAAACAAAATGGCGTCACCTATATTTTGTATAAAACGTTTATTTGTTTTAGTGCAAATATTTATAATGGGCTATGTGCACTCTGTCTAACGTGAGGAATCATACCCCCGATTTTAGGGTTGTAATTCCGTAAGTTCACCATTGACCCCCTGGGGGAGTTGTATAATAAAGGCTGGGCTAAAGGTTGTACAGTTTATTTTATGGTCATATTGCATCTCATGGGTATAGTAAGTAAGTCAAATAGATTTCTTATGCAAAGATATATTTTCACAAGTGCAATGGCGATGATGACGCACTGCTGTGGTCTAACTGACTCTTCACACTCTCCCATTGCATTTCATAGACATACTTATTTAAATAACACTTTGGTGAATGTATCTCTCTGTCTTCCTCAAAATATTGACCCAATATTTATTTATCTTTTTTGTCTAAACGCCATTGTATAGATGTTACAATCCTGGTTGGTTGTTGATGCTAAACATGCTATACCATGAACCCTTTGTGCTCTTTCCACCACGGATATCGAAACCAACATTTTAGCGTAGTAATCCTGCAGACTTACTGCTGAGCCACTTGAGGGCTACAATCCAAATAACGATAAATGAAACGGATCATCAGTAAGTATAAGATATGTCAAATATTTAATAAAAAGGTTTTGTGGCCCGGCATGGCCTGGTGGTTAGGGCACTCGACTCGCACTGTGCGGGTCGCGGGTTCGAATCCCCGTTACACCAAACAGCCGTGGGGGCGTTATAATGTTACGGTCAATCCCACTATTCGTTGGTAAAAGAGTAGCCCAAGAGTTGGCGGTGGGTGGTGATTACTAGCTGCCTTCCCTCTAGTCTTACACTGATAAATTACAGACGGCTAACGCAGATAGCCCTCGTGTAGCTTTGCGCGAAATTCAAAAATACAACAAAAGTTTTGTTTTTTCAACGAGAACGTGTTATTACTTGTTCATTACAGGATTTCATTAATTGTCTTTTTTTTAGTTTTCATTGACAGATTATATAGTTTTTACTAAAACTTCTGAATCCTGTTATTTACTGTGTACTTATTTTTAAAACTGCAATTTCAAAAACATTTTAATATTAATTATGAAGAGTTGAAAGCTTTTAAGAGTCATCTTTAAATCTGTGCGAAGACTGAATTACTATTCAATTTTTACTTTAGGAAATCATTTCCTTTCTGAGGATGCTGTATGACGTACAAACAAGCCTAAAATGATTTTTTTCAAAAAACTCTAAATTCAATATTGCCAGCAACACGATACAATAGAATTGTTCGTTCAAGAATGTGACGATAGATAACACGAAAGTAGCTACGATCCAGTAAATACAACCAACATAGGGACATAAATTGTACGGAGTCATACAACAACAAAAACTATATTAACAAAAGTACTTGATCAACACACCCCCTTATCATCGTAAAGAACTTATTTCCACAGAACTTACATGTGAGTCCTCAGCTACATACAGTTTATAAGGATCAGAGGTTGCTACAGACACTCATTTATACTCAAAATGCCAAAGAAATCGGAGCTCGTGTCCTTCAAAGAGGAATGGTTTTTTTTTTGGATGCATCATTAGTGTTATGAGTGCTCAAGACAAGTTAATCTACCAACGTAAATTCACGTTTACCACAGGTAATGTGTTGAAATAATGGAAGACCGCTGGACGTGCTAATTTTGACATTGAATTATTCGCTCAGGACTGTAACGAGAGTTCTATAGTACGAGACAATACATCCATTCAACGTAGCGAGTTCGAATCAACTGAAACAAAAGTCCGGGCTGCTATATAGGCTATTTATCATAGTTTCGTGAATGCAAAGTATCAGATCTCATGGTTCAAAGATTATTAAATTAAGGTACACGACAAAGATAAAACCATCATGCGGAGTGATGATGGTTATCTTGTTCAAATAGACTGATTAGATAATGAAATAACTTTTGGGCTTGTGTTAAAGCTTAATGTATGGTCCATTGACAATAGTAAAGGAGTCATTTCTGATATTTAATGCTTTACTTTTATTTAAAATATTCAATGAATAAGTATCTTACCTATTTCAGCGTAGTAATATCCATTACTACACGCCATTTTCAGCAATGATTTAAGACAAAAGCTTTCAGAATCTCTAATGGTCAATCAAGAGCCAGATATGTACACAATTTAACTGCTCTATGATGTTTCAGAATGCCGTCTGCGGAATAGGAGAAACAGGTTCTAAAAATCTCAGTACACATGAAATTGATTTGCAAGCAAAATGGCGGTTTATTTCCAGAGATATATGCCTACATGCAATAGCAATTACTACAAACATATCGAACATTTAGTATCCTCTGGTTTGTGCTAAAAATGGGGTCATCCCTTATTAAGATAGGAATCCAGTGGTGAAATACGACACACACATACCCTTCTGAGGTCATATTGTCCCTCAAAATTTGGTAGGGTGTTGTCACTACATATTTGTATTGTTGTTGTTGTTTATTGCATAACTACACAAATGGATATATGCACTCTATCCACCACGGGGAATCGAGCTCTGAATTTTAGCGTTGTAAATCTGCAAACTCATCGCTGATGCACTGGGAAACTTAGGAATATATACGTACAGATATAAATCAATAGGAAAATTTCCATAGTCCCGAAATATATACGTACAGATTAATAAACTCCAAACAGCAGTCCAAAAGTTTGATTTCCAAGAACATTATTTTCTTCGTTATGGGCCGGCATGGCCAGGTGGTTATGGCGCTCAACTCGAAATCTGTGGGTCGCGGGTTCGAAACCCCGTCACACCAAGCATGCTCGCCCTTTCAGGAGTGGTGGCGTTATAATGTGGCGGTCAATCCTATTATTCGTTGGTAAAAGAGTATCCCAAGAGTTGGCGGTGGGTGTCTGTGACTAGCTGCCTTACCTCTAGTCTTACACTGCTAAATTAGAGACGGCTAGCGCAGATAGCCCTAGTGTAGCTTTGCGCGAAATCCGTAACAAATAAACAAACTCTTCATTATGATCCTGATAAATAAGAAACGACTCTTCAAAGGTGCTTGATCTTTTAGATCGTTTTTTGAACCCTTATAATCACTAATTAATAAATCCATGGTGTTATCTTTCTTAAAATATGCACCTACAGATACAATTCTAAAAAACATTTTAATACATACGTTGTTCAAGAGGGAAATGTTCGTACCGTAAAAGGCCTACAAGACATTGCAAATACTGTATTCTTAAATAATAATTCGACTGTTATACTTGTATTTTGCCATTTAATTTGAATGTCCGGTAGTATGTCCAATATAATATAGTAATATTGATTACTCACACGAAAGCGCATAATGTTTGAACTTGCACTGCCGTTAGTAATCATATGATCCTTTATACCGTTTCCAAAATATATATTATATATCACTATGGTGTTAAAAACATTTGACAGTTAGCAGTTCAATAAAATTAAAGGTGTTTGGTCTTTATAGTTGATAGGACTAGATGACTGGTCAGAGACCATTGAAACAATATATACAGCTAAGCCCCAGCCGTAAGTCTGAATGCTTATATCGCTAAAAAGGGGGTTTCGGTACCCGTGTTGGGCACAGCATAAATAGCCCATTGTGTAGCTTTGTGCTTAACAGCAAACAAACAAATTAACAGTTAAAGTTGGTCAAATGAAATTTGGTCTATGAAACGCATTGGGTAGACCTAAAGAATCTTTAAAAATTGCAGTAAGCTTGAGTTCTTAGGCCTAGTAAATAGATGCATAGATACCTCTTTAGATGTATTTGGAACATTTTATATATTCTTATAATAATGAAACTCAACTGTTAATGCTGTTTTAACCGCTTTAAGCTTCTATTTTAGATAAGTCCTGGAAGTATTTTGCTTAATCATGCATAAAAGCTTTTCATAATTTTACCATTTCTTTGTCATTTCCAGTTTTATTCTAAAGCTTTCTGTAGTGTATTGAACCTTTCCTGAAGCTAAATACATATTTTTAACAACAACTAAACCAAAGAAAAGGAATAGACTAATTTCCATTTGTTTGCTGATGCTCTAATTTTGTTATCATTGATACTTTTTAATATTATAATATGGTTTTGTAGTTCCTTGTGTTTTAGACAAGGAATTTTTTCTAATTTATTACAGTTTTTTTTTTCGATTGCATTAGGAACGCAAAACAGAACTGATAGAGATTGCTAACAAAATTCGATAAGCATCATATTGAAACAAATATTCTAAGGGAAACTTACAGAACTTTTGCTTTCAACTGGTACGGATCTTTTATTCAATACTAGGACTTACCATTCCATCTTTCGTACTCGAAGTGGTCGAAAGATAATGTTTTTCGATCCAATGGGCATGTGGTTTCTATTGCAAAAACTGAAATGTGTTTCAGAGGAAACGAAGCTATACAAAACGTCCTTTTGAAATATGGTAATTGGTCGTAAAACTTTGGAAATAGAACACCAACTAGCGTGGAAGTCTACTCAGGATAATCCTCCAAATAATGGACTTATTTTTTCTGCTGTAATCTCTATATGTAAGTTAGAAACTCCAGAAAGTGTTATATTTCCAACACACACTTACTAAATGTAACTCAGTTCTGTAGTGGCACCCTTTCGTATACATAAATAAGACAGAAGCACTTAAATAGTATACTATATTCTCAATTGGTGTTCCGAACACTGCAGTTACAGATCTATATAGGAAAGTGAATAGATAGACAAGATTGATAAGTATACAGAGAGCAGATGAATAATATATATATATATATATATATGTATATAGACAGATAGGTAGAGATAAATAAATAAATAACAAAGATGTGAACAGGAAGATAACAGAATATAACAGAAAGAGAGAAATATAAATGAATATATAAAGTAATATTAAATACTGACAAAATAAAACAGAATGTTGCATGTATATTCAGATAAACATATAAAAACAAACAAATAATGATACGCAGGAATAAACATATCAAGTTAAATAAAATTTCATTCAAGCGACAGCAGCCTAATCGTACGTATTTCATCCTGAAAGTGTAATGTTGCAAAACGTATTTCATCCTGAAAGTGTAATGTTGCAAAACGTATTTCATCCTGAAAGTGTAATGTTGTAAAACGCATTTCATCCTGAAAGTGTAATGTTGCAAAACGTATTTCATCCTGAAAGTGTAATGTTGCAAAACGCATTTCATCCTGAAAGTGTAATGTTTGCAAAACGTATTTCATCCTGAAAGTGTAATGTTTGCAAAACGTATTTCATCCTGAAAATGTAATGTTGCAAAACGCATTTCCAAGTTCTAAGACAGTTTCGAGTCATTCCTAACCAATGGCTTCGTGTTTTAATTAAATATGTTAGAACATATCCCATAGATATGTAAGTTAACGTGCCTGATTACATCCTGATAACATTAAGAAATATTTAAGTAATCTTCCCTTAATGTCTTCTCTATACCTACCCCTAATTAAACCCCAAATGTATGTGTCGAGTTTTACGTTTGGAGAATATAAAGAAAGTATTTTTCCTGTTTGTTTATAGAAAATGACCAACAATAGAACGACGGTTCTAGTAATACTGATGATATTTATGAAGTAGTTCTCCCCCTACCGGCTCACAGTGTTAAAAAGAGCTTCAAAGCCCTATATAAATTTGTTTTACTTTTTATATTTATTTGTATGTTTGTTGTCAAGCAGAAATCTGCACAATGTGCTATGTATACTCTGCCCACTACTGGCATTGAAATCCTATTCTTGGCGTTATTAACCCTCTGAGCCGTTGGTAGGGAATCAACTTCATATTTTATGTTGCTTTCATTAATAACACCAAATTATTTAAACCTTTGAATGATCCAACCTATTCTAAAATATATTATTAGAAATAAATTTTTGAAACGTAGAAGTAAAACAAACAAAGAGCCACGAAAATATTGGTATTTGTTTTGAATTTCGCGCAAAGCTACACGAGGGCTATCTGCGCTAGCCGTCCCTAATTTAGCAGTGTAAGACTAGAGGGAAGGCAGCTAGTCATCACCACCCACCGCCAACTCTTGGGCTACTCCTTTATCAACGAATAGTGGGATTGACCGTAACATTTTAACGCCCTCACGGCTGAAGGGGCGAGCATGTTTGGTAGGACGGGAATTCGAACCCGCGACCCTCAGATTGCGAATCGAGCGCCCTAACCACCTGGTCATGCCGGCCCATATTGGTATTTAAGCCTTTTGATACTTTCACCTAAGTCTATGTTATAGCTGCTATTACTAGTCTCTGCTGTTCAAAGTAAGTATATATATCTTTGGAACAATTACCGAGCATCTGAGATATCACTTAATACATTATAAAAAGAAACAATCACTATTTTAATTTGTATCCTTTGACGTTGGACATGCTCCGCACGTATTTAAAGTGACAGTTAATCAAATATTTGAAGTATAGGCTTGAGATGACAAGTACTGCTTACTATACGCCTTTCCTATAGTCAGTATTTTAAAATTAAGGACAGCCATACCTGAACCTTAATAGTATCTAACCTTCGATTTAGCCAACGAGCGCATAAGGAGCCGTTAAAGTTGCAAGTTCCAGTTTCACCTTCAACCATTGTTGACTCATATTTTGTTGAAGTATTAAAGTTGAACGATACATTTGATATCATCTCACACTGTGAACCATTCTGAACAGAATAAATCCGGTTCTTTACTGGGAAACACAATTATGGGGCCCGGCATAGCCAGGTGGTTAAGCCGCTCGATTCGCAATCTGAGGGT